CTTTGTCTACAAGCCGTCCCTCTTACCTCCTTGAGGGACGGCTCTTTCAAAACGGCCCCCTGGCTAGATCTTAACTGCCGGGTAGGCTCATATGGAAGGAGGCGGTCCTTCATGTATCCAGGGCCCAAGCCATTTAGGGCTTTATATTCTGACCTTATTTCCATCACTCTTTACTTGGGTGTCTTCTCTAAGATGAGTTTCATCAATTACCTTCTCAGCTTTTCTTTGCTTTTGACTATGAAAAAGTCTTTATTCACCTATAATATATCTGGTATAATCCAGTGTTTCTGGTTTATGGTCAATTGACTTTAGTAATATAAATCTGTTCTGTATTTGAATTTTTTCAGAAACATTATTTACATTATATTTTCAAACTCTGATTTAGCTTCCTTGGATCTTCCGGAGGAGAAAGGTGGTGTATAAATATTTTTCAATAAAAAATAAAATAAAATAAATGATCTTTCGTTTTGTTTTAACTCTACGGTCTGTACCACCGTCTGCTCTTCCCCTACTTTTGGCAGACAAAATGCAGCTTCTCCATCGTCTGCTTCTGATTAGGACTAGGATAGAATCCTGCCAACATGAATCTGACCCAACTCCGGGAGACAGTGGAAGATAGGAGGGCCTGGTGTGCTCTGGTCCATGGGGTCACGAAGAGTCGGACACGGCTAAACTAAATGAACGAACGAAGAATCCTGCCTAAAACTTTGGGAAGCTGCTGCCAGTCAGAGATGGCTGCACTGGACTAGATGGATCAATTGTGTGACTAAGTAAAAGGCAGTTTCTTGTGATTGTTACCTTTTACTTAAACTGGTTTGCTAAGTTGGACGTATGCCTCAAAGCAGGCATCCTACAATACTCCTTGGACTGATTTTGCTCCCAAGTTGCCGAACTGCCTCCCTCCAATCTTGTAATGGCTTGAAGAGAGGTACAGAGTATAGTTTATGAGGAAAAAGATTCTCTCCCTTGTACAACCTTCTGCTTCAGAGAAGCCAAGAGGAAGAAAAGGAGAGTTAAATGATATGCATATGCATGCATATTCTTTTCCTTGTACTTCTTCCTGCCTCCAGCTTCATGTCTAACTTTTCAACCCGAGCCTGATAAATGAGAGAGTAGAGCTTGGAATTGTGACTACTTTTTTGGGCTACAGTTCCCAGTGTCCCACTGCCAGCATAAACTGTATGGCAACAGACAAGAGCTTCTGGTGCTTTCACTGAGCTCTTAAGAGATAAAGCTTAGACAAGCTAAATTTTTGGATTATGGTATATTTGTCAGAATCCCACAGCCAGCATAGCCAATGGTCATTTTGGCTGGGAGAGTTTCATACTTGCTATCCAAAAAAGAACTTTTTCTAGTTCTGTCTATTGGCTAATAATGAGACAGGCAGCCTTTGAGAGCCAGAACAGAAGGCAAAGGAGAAACAGTGATGCTTGGGAAGGAAAACAGCATGAGAGCGAGTGGTGTAGTGGGTTGGACTCTGATCTGGATTCAAATCACTGGTTAGTCCCAAATATGCATTGATCTGGATTCAAATCACTGGTTAGTCCCGAATATGCATTAAAGCAAAGCAAAAAGCGTACTGCTCATATACCGCCCCATAGCACTTCAGGCACTTTCTGGGCGGCTTACAAGTTAATTATGCAGGCTACAACACCCACCCACCCCAGCAAGCTGGGTACTCATTTTACCGACCTCGGAAGGTTAGAAGGGTAAGTCAACCTTGCGCTGACTACCTGGGATTCAACCCTAGGTCGCGAGCACAGTTTTGGCTGCAGTAACAGCAGTTTAACGACTGCGCCATGAGGCTCACTAGACAGCCTTGGACAAGGCACTCATTTTCTGACCCCTTTATTCAGATTACTAAAACGGGAATAGGTTTGGCATGTTTAACTCAGCTACTGAAAGAAAAGGGGAAAGAGACAGCAACAAAAAGAACAGCTATGTACATGGACATGGTTCCCAACACATTTTCAGAAACCCTTTATTGTTAAATAAAGAAAATGTTAAGTTCCTTGTTAAAAAAACGTTTGGACTTCTTTTTTTTTCTGCTGCAGCAACACCTAAAGCAGACTGCTGCAAGAGAGAAAGTGTGAGGACAAGCCCAACAGGAACATCACCAATATCTCTGTGCAGCTGCCCTATTTATTTGGCTTTTCTTTCCCCCACAGCTTCTCCCCCCCCTTTCCCATGATCCTCTATTTTTGGGAAACACAGAAGGGTTCTCACAGGCTAAATACATGAAAGAAATACTTATATTGACATGCCAGCAGCACATAGCCCTGCAGAGTTTGAGTGGCAAGGAGGAAGGGGATCACTATATACTAAAGTACAATGCAGACACCCACACACCCCACAAGTCAGGTGACAAAGTGCACAGCTGGTAATTGTCTGTTCCCCACCAAACATATGAACATTCAGCCTTCCATGATGCTGCTTCCAAGGTTCTTGAGTCTCTATAATGCTTGAAACATTACACATGGCTGGGTTCATGAATAATTATAATAGCTGAAGAACAGCTCTCTGCCCTGAAGGCTGGAAATAGAGGAAATGAGTTTCTGAGGAGGACTTTCCGGGTCAGAGCAGGAAAGGGCTCTGGGAGAAGATTCTAGATTTTCTTCTGGATGGAGTACAATAAGTTTTGATAATACTCTGCATAAATCAGATCTCAAATGGACCACGTTGGGGGGATGGAGAGATATATAAGATTTAATAGTGGATGAAAATGTCCTTTGAGGTAGAGTGCAAAGGTAGCACTTTGAGTCATTGTGAGCTTTTTAAAATAGAAGTAATACAGAAATGCTCTAAAATTGATAACAGTAAACAATAAATATATAGGAATATAACTGACAAGTCAGTTAACAAAGTGAAGCACAGTGAGGAACAGTACCACTTAAATTTTCAGTCAGAACTTCTGATAATCTCAAAATCAATTTAGGTGTTTTGCAATCAGAATGCTGAAGCACTTTCTATTTTGTAGAAACACATAAGACATCATTTCCTGATTCTGAAGAATAATTCAAATACAGCCTGACCTCACCCATTAACCTTTGAGGAATAACACTGTTCTACTTCCCTTCCTTTCTTATGCTAGAACTTCATTCCCAGTTAATGGCAAAACATCTCTCAGGGTGGGGACCAGTTGGTAAAATCTATCAGTTCATGTGTGTAAATGCCTGACCCTATTTCTGACTTGCCACTTTTTGAAAATTCCCAGCCCTCATAGACAGAAATAGGGAAAGCTTCTTACTCTTTTCCTTTTGATTACAACTCTCCAAATAATCCAGATGGTTTTCACATTTTCCCAGTACTTTCCCCCATCTCTGCTCAAAACTACACAATGCGCTTATAATTTATTTAAAAAGATGCACAAACAAATAAACAAACAAATCCTGAGATATGTTAATACTTTGGCCAGATTTTTTTTTCTCTTCTGGAGAAGGAGCAAAGCAGTCATAATTTGTTATGCAGACAATAATACAATTCCTAGTGAGGAAGCGTTTGAATTAAACTGCAGATCTCTTACATCCAAACTGCCCTAAATAAAAGCTTGAAAGGTTAAAGGAATCATATGTGTTCCCCTCCCAGTTTCTATCCTGGCACTTTTGCTGCAGGGGTATAAACACTGAAACATCCTAGCCCTGGGCTCCTGGAAAGGAGACGTGGAACAGCTGAATTGCAGAGGCGAAAAGGAAGTGTATATGGATGCTCCACATCTGGACAGACAACATGCAGATGGTGTGTTCTGTATCCTAAAGGGCACTGGTTCATTTTAAAATGTCAAAGAAAAGGCTTCTCTTTTTAAAAAGAGCTTTTATAAACACATCGTTTATTTTGACATTTCTCTGTTCCTAATGACTTTTTCTCCAACAACCTTTCTTTTCTTTTCTTTTCCTTTCCTTTCTTTTCCATAGAAAAGCAAGAGACTTCTCTACACCAGCAGCCGTAACCAGCTGGAGAGAAGACTTGCCTCAGTCATTCCCTTCCCCTGATGGTTCATGTTAAATGTATACAGTAAGCAGACCTATTTCTCACGAGAAAACCTTTGGAACCACAACACCCAGCCCTATTTTCTTCTCCTGCTGCATTTGGCTCTATATCTGGATATGTAAAGTATGGGTCTTACCTTTCTGCAACCATGATCCTCCTCTTCTTTGCCTTGACTCACACGACCCCTCTTCTTACAGACAGAAGGCAATGTCTGGTTGCAAGGGCTGTCATTCCATCTCCCTTCCTGGACAGGGGCACAGAAGCCTTTCAGAGAAAAGCATTTTCGCAACAGATAATGACTTTGAAATATTTGAAATGTGAATGGTACACCACCACTAGTTTTTCTTCTTATTGTTTCAACTGGTGGTTTAGTTGGCGTAAACCCCTTTTGCTGCATCCCTGCTGTGCTCAAACAAAAAAATGTAAAAAGGCAAAGGTATATCAATGCATCTGGAAGCTCCAGATACAGAAGTGAAATCAGTGTAAGTTTTCTTTTAAAGAAATTATTTTCTGTCTTGCCATGTTGCATAGCTCCTCCTGCCCAGCGACAGCAGCATCATTATTGGCAGATGGCCACTGATTAAACAGTTCATTTTTAAATTTTGAGGTGTGCACAACTTACACACAATGAGACAAAGTTGTGCACATCTTGACACTGAGAAAGGAACTCTAATCAGTGGTAATTTGCTACTGGTGTCATTGCCATTATAGAGGCAGAGATACACAACAGGATACTGGCTGTTATCTCAGGGCACAATAAGAACAATGTAAAACAATTTAAATTATTTTAAATGTATGAAATCATTTTTAAAACTTAAACAATCCAAAACATATAAGAGAATTTCAGCAATTTAAAAATTTTAAGAACCATACATACTACAAAGAACTTCACAACCTTATATGAGCCAAGATCCTTAAACTTCAAAGAATATGGTGAACAGTTATGTTTAAAGTAATTGCCAAAACAAAATGAAGTTTCAGTTGGGCACTGTCTCATTCATTTGCCCAAGGCCATTCTTGTTCGAAGCAGAGCATCAGATCTTGGGCCAAGACCTGTTTCTTCTTTCTGCTTGTTTGACAGCCTATCACACAGCAACAGTTTTCAAACTTGTGTAAGGAGCTAGTGGCTGAAATCCAATTGGCGTAACTCTGCTGGCATAACTACTGGTGATGTCATCAGCCTATGACAGTACTATTATATTAAATTAAATTTAAAGCCTCCTATCCCACCCCTTTAAGGTCCAAGACTCCCTAGGGATCTCTTTTGATCCTGGAAAGCCTTTGGAAGCCTCAGAATGTAGCGAGTTCCTAATACAGTGATGCCTCGCAAGACGAATGCCTCAGGCAATGAAAAACTTGCAAGACGAAAGCGTTTTGCAATTTTTGGGTGACTTACAAGATGAATTTTTCTATGGCCGTGCTTCGCAAGATGAATTTTTTCCTTTTTTTGGCTTGTTTTAAATCACACAACCATTAGTACCATGCTTCGCAAGACGAAATTTTCGCAATATGACACAACTCGCGGAACAAATTAATTTCGTCTTGCGAGGCATCACTGTACAAGATTGCCACCATTGGGATTGGACCTGCTGGTGGCAATTTCCCTACATAACACATCTCAAGGCTCCCAAAGGCTTCCCCAGGTGAAAAAGTGATCTATAGGGAGCTTTGGAACCTCAAATGAGGCAGGTGAATGGGAAAAAGGAAGCTTTAAATTAAATGGTTCCCCCATCAAATCTATTGCACGAAAGAGGAAGTTGACATTGCCGTATGGCCTGTTCAATGGCATGTCCTTTGAGGCTCAAAATCCCAGTGAGTACATCTGTAACTGTATACAAGGAAATATTCAACTAATCTATAGCATCCTTCAATCCATTAACACTTTGCACTGAAAATACAAAGAGGATTCTGCCATGTACACTCAAGATTGCATCTCCCTATAATGATGAGTGTCCCTACACTTACTGGTCCCCAAATGGTCACACAGTCTTCTAGGCTGTCTCGGAAATTGTTGGGTTCAAAAGGATGCCAGAACGTAAACAGCACTGGTGTACCATCTGACCACTCAAAGTTCATTTGCAGTCTGAGATCATTCAGGCCAATCCAAAGTTCTTCAACATCTGCCAAAACAGAGAGTGTGGGGAGTAAATTTCTGCAAAATTAATAATCCTGCCCTCCCCAGTACCTCTCTGCCTCTTCCACAAGTACTCTCCTCCAGTGTGTGAGCATTTTACAACACAGTGTAATCTCAGTATCTCTTTCTGAAGGACTAGAAACTTACAGCAGCAATAAACACACTTCCCTATTAGAGTGTGTGGAAATTGCCCTCCACCTTCATGTCTGTAGCTTGCTTAGCTTGACTGTGGGATGTCTGCCCACCCAGTTCTACTTCAAACAGTCTGTGGCACCTGACATATTTACAAATCCAAGCATCCATTCACGATCTTCCCCCCTCAAAAAAAATCATGTCTTTCCAAATACTTCTTTATTACTGAAGGTGAGCAGTGGCACCTTCAGTAATAAAGGTAATAAATAATAAAGTACCAAGGATTCAGCAATTTATACACTTGGATTGTATTGTAGGAGGGTACAATTGCAGAACTGCAGAGTTAGAAGGGACACCAAAATGCCACGTCTAACCCCCCTGCCACCAATGCCAGAATCCCATGTCAATGAAAGCAGTAGCTTTGTCACAAGACGCAACCACAACCAAATTCTCCTGGGAACAGGAATTACCCCTGAACTTGATGTCTGAAGTTTAATCATTTGTCTTACAAAGAGATAAATAGAGACCCATGGCAAATTCACCACTCAAGCATCCACATCTGATTCAATGTTTGTTTTTTAAAGTGAAATTAGAATTTTTCTATACATTATCTGAAAATAGCCACATGTATCTTTACATCAGCAAATCTGACTCAACCCTTCCTTACCTTGTTTTATTTGCTTGGTAACGAACTCCAGTTCAGAGAGCGTATGGATGCTCACCAGGTCGCCTTCATTCCGTGAACAGGTCTTTTTTGCATCAAGCCAGCTTTTCTTCTCACTGATCAAACGGTAACAGTTAGTCTGGAATGGCTGCCAACTGGGATCACAGTCAACTTTCACCTCTGGCTCTACTGGGATTGAAGCAGAGAAGCTCTCGTAAGTGGCACTCATAATAATGACTGGATATATTCGAAGCAACTTCATTATATTTTCACATTTCATATCTGCTTCCAGACAGCTGATTATTACATCTAACAGTCAAAAGCATTAGACAGCTAGTCAGTCATCTTCCTTCCTTAGCAGATATTCCTCAATAAGAAAAAAAAAGCGGAAGCAGTAGTGGGGAGCATATTGGAGAGATATACCATGTTTCCCCGAAAATAAGACAGGGTCTTATATTATTTTTTGCTCCAAAAAAAGCATTAGGGCTTATTTTCAGGGGATGTTTAATTTTACAGTTATGTCATCTTCTTCTGGTTGCTGCACAATGGTGGAGGGCGGGGTTTCATTTAACTGGGGCTTATTTTTGGGGTAGGGCTTATATTACGAGCATCCTGAAAAATCATACAAGGTCTTATTTTCAGAGAAACAGAGCAAATAGAAGATAACAACATCTGGTCTTCCTATAAAGTTTTGGGAAAGGTGGAGGAAATAATGAAAATATCTTATGGAAGCCTACCAAAATGTTAAAAGTCCACCACTAACAGAAGTAAACTATTTGCTGCGTGAATCCTAGAAGCTCCTTGATCTGTAATAAAATCAGTTACACTAAATGCCTGCATCCAAAGCTTCAGTCAATATACTTTTTCCCCCCATTCTGGCCCACTGGGCTGCCTATTTCTCACCCTTCAAAAAGTTCTCTGCTGGTTCACTTTGTTCCAACCGGCATCACATAAGGGAGTCCCTAAACTCCCTTATGTGTGAAGTTTATCACCAAGCCTCATTCTTTTAACTTTGTTCACACTTCCATTTGTGCTTGATTATATATCCTTTTTTCAAGGAATTTTCTTACAAATCCACTCTGCCTATTCTCTTTGTTTTAATCATGTTGTTCCTGGGTGCACTTTTCCCAGGCTGCTCTTCTGATTCAGACTCTTGAGGCCAGCTACATGGGAGTTTATTCCGCTCTATAAACCATTGTTGTAATTGTTGGGACTGCTCTTAAAAAATGTCAGCTGCACAACATTCTTGCTAGAGTGTTCCAACCTGTCCCTAATGGGGACCAATCTGGGACAGGCTGGGTTGGAGCCTACAACTAGGATCGGTCCAAATAAACATGGTTTTCTTCCTGTGTGACCACCTAGATTGTTCCAGTTTAAGGTTGCGGGTGTGTTCTTCCTACACATTGGTGATGTGTAGAAGTGTGTGTGGTCTGGCCATGACTACAGATGGAGGCATTTTTGTTTTAATTTTAAAAAAAAAATACTTTCTCACTACTGCACTGCATCACTTAAGCACTATAAAGTATAGGATTGAGGATTATATCCTGACTGTGCAACTTCACTTTTACACACATTGATTGCCTGCAGTTCTGCAGATATTGCTCAACATGTCAGTGAAGACCATGTAGCACAATATTAGGCAGCAATGTATTTTTTAAAAAAAAAATAGAAATGTATTTCAGAAATGAAGACAACCAAAGGGTCACTTAGGCTCCATTCCACTTACCAAAAACTAACTTCTAAAAAAAAAAGAAGAAAAAGGAGAAACATGTGGCTGAAACATAGCGCTCCGTTCCCTCCACCCACCTCTTTTGTGTACATAAAAAACCAGAATTAATACCCACCCAAACAAATGGGAGCAGGCTGTTCCCCAAATGGCTGATAGCTATTGCAGAAGAGAAGGCAAGAGGCAGAGAGTGAGAAGGGGAGGGACATATTGTGACCAAGTAGATGAAAACAGAGCAATCTAACATCATCGTGTGGTTAACCAGATCACCATGACAGGGAAGAGAAGAAGTGGTCCAATGAAGCCCCAACATTCCAAACCGTTCCAAAGTTCCAACTGTTCAGCCACTCGAAATCACAAACCTGCCCAATATGTATTAGAGGTGGCATTGGGTTTCTTCTTGCAGATGTAGGGCAAAGCGATGCTGCAGTCACGGTTCTGCCATCCCCCTGATGACTCAGTCCGGATCACCCCACAGTTTTCTTCATTGGGATTGTCAGGCTGATCTATAAACCAAAGGAGGAAAACACCCAGCTTTCCAATGGCTGTCACTGAAGCAGAAATCTAGCAACTGGAAAATGACTTGCCATGTGGCAAGAGAGGAAATGCATTCAACGATGTCACATGAAATCTCAAATTATTAAGGTATTATTTCTATATGAGGAGCAGATTAGGTCAAGACATCCAGATTTTGTTACCTGGCAGCGCAGTATTTCTACTGCACTGCCACTACATCAGAGTGGTAGAATATACCAGATGGGCGGGATACAAATCGAACAAACAAACAAACAAACAAACAAACAAATAAAATTGGAATAATATGCAGCAGACCCACAATCAAGTCATCGCTCAGACATAACATCCAGAGGACAGCTTTGAAGCAAATCCATCTCAGAACGTGTAGAACACTCTGCATTCTTCAAAAGTGGGATCATCCATCTCCTTAAATGTGCCAGCAAGTTTTGAGAGTAACCATGCTTTCTTTCAAACAAGAGTTTGGAGAATTTGTTTTTTGGATTACAACACCCAAAATTTATGGTTTAACCTTCATGCACTCAGATGGGACATGCCAGTCCCCCACAGTCAAATTCTGTTGCAGAATCCTCAATGAACTGAGTTGATCATGTAGATAATTAACAGTAATCATCACCACCACAACCACCACCATCATCTTAGAACTGCAGAGCTGGAAGGGATCCTATAGATCAGAGGTCCCCAACCTTGGGCCTCCAGATGTTCCTGGACTACAACTCCCAGAAGCCTTCACCACCACTTCGGGTGGCCAGGATTTCTGGGAGTTGAAGTCCAAGAACACCTGAAGGCCCAAGGTTGGGGACCACTGCTATAGATCACCATGTCCAGCCCCTGTCAAGAAGGCATAGTAAGGAACTGAATTCCCAGCCCATGGCTCCACAGCCAGGTCCCTAAACCTCTAGACTTCTATAACATTGTCATTAGAGATGGGGACAAATTTTAAAAAATGGCAATTAACTGTGATTTGTGATTCATCAAGGTTAACAAATCAACAAATCTGAATTTACAAATATTCGCTGACAAGTTGACAAGTCAATTTGTCAATTCATTTTCAATTTAAAATGCTATAAAACAGGGCCCCAAGCACCTAGAGACACCAGATGTGTCAGGAAGCTTCCTCAAATGGTTTTCTACAAGTTCAGCAAGTTTGGTGAACATTCAGTAATGGACCCCTGAGTTATATAGTCACAAGGAGGACATCCCCAAGAAAGTCCTCCCCCAGATACTTAGAAATTCCTAAATCACACCAAACTTTCTATGTCCTTCCCAAACACACCTACCAAGTTTGGTGAAGATTGGAGATCGGAAATCACCCACAAATTGGGGGCCCCAGGATAGTTTATTATGCAGCACAGAAGCAGATGGCATTGAGGGAGTTTGATTTGGCTTGTCTCTGGCAGATGGCATTGAGGGAGTTTGATTTGGCCCCAACAGAATGAGAGGTCTTTGGCACTGAAGTAGAATGGTTTGTCTCTGGCAAGCATACAAAGGCATGAGGCACTGAGGTAGAGTTTGTCTTCAGCAACATCACATTTGGCAGTAAAGTAGAGTTACCCCCAGTACCCCACTGAGGCACTTGGCAGCAAAGTAGACTTTGGCCCCATTGGGCACTGAGATAGTTGGCAGCAGAGTACCCGTTGGTCCCATTGGGCACTGAGGCACATGGCAGCAAAGTAGACTATGGCTCCATCGGTCACTTAGGTACCCCATCAACTAAGACTCTTAGAGAGAGACACAACACAGCTACTCAGAAATTACCATATTTTCCATGTATAAGACTATACTTTTTTCAAAAATCTTTAGACTAAAAATTGAGGGTCGTCTTATATACGGAAGTAAGCTGAGGAGAGAAAAAACAAGTGGAGGGGAAAGCAGGGATCAAAGTGATCCTGCAGGGCTTTGATCCCTGCTTTCCCCTCTGCTTGCTAAGTACCATGGGCCTAGGAAAAGGAGGGGGAAAGGTTCAAAGCAATTCGGTGGCTGTATAAGGGGGAAAGGGATCAAAATGATTTTGCAGTTGTGGAATTGCTTTAATCCCTTTCCCCCTCCTTTGCTAAGGCACACATGGCTTAGCACAAAGAAAGCAGGGATCAAAACCATCCTGCAGTACTTTGATCCTTATATATACACACTGGAATTTTCAATACATGTTTTTCACCCTGGTGGACAAAGGTTAAAACACAAAACAACAAGTCCAGGTAGCATACTTGAAGAGGGAAGAGACAGGTTGATGGATGAACCAGTATCTGACTTGCCAGCATGTACACCTAACATGCAAATTGCGAAGGCAGGCAAAAGATGGACTCATATCAGAACTGCTTTTATATTGTGTCTGGTTTTACCCTGATGGTTAAGTCAGGTACATGGCATGTATCTGTTCTGTGTTTCTGTGCTTGTGTAGATTTCTACAGGTCCACAGGTCCATTGACCAATATATTTCACCCAGAAGTTGTCTGTTTCACAAGAAGCTACGTATCTGTATCAAAATCCCTTGATGTGACAAAAAAATTAAAACAAGTTAGTAATATAGGCCAGCAACCGGTGCTTGCAAGATGGCTTTGCTGACAATTCTTTCAGATGTCACTCACTTTTCCTCAACATGCATCCTTTACTTACCACTTTCCCAATTAAGGAATTTCAAGGGTGAGTTGTCTGACCACTGCCAGCCCCCATTGAGATCCAAATCATTCAGCCCAATCCAGAGGGTGGACCCATATCCTGTTAGCAGTCCTGGAGGAGAACAGACAGGAAATGGCAAAATGTCATAGCATAAGCCCCCTACTTCCCAAGAAAAGCCATGGCCCATCATGCTTACATCTCCCAGCATCCCACTGTCCAGGCTTACGCGGATGTTTTCAAACTCCGTGTTTGCTCTCCCAGCATCCCAGAACAGCATCTGACCTTTATTCCACCAGCCTCACCAAAGCTTACTACTGGAATCCCTCCTGATATCACCCAATATAGTCCAGTCTTGCCTGAATCCCATTTCTCGGTTATCCATTTACAGTACTGGTTCTCAACCTTGGGTCCCCAAGCTTTCTTAGACTAAAATTTCCTGAAGCTTTCACCACTAGCTGTAGTGGCCAGGGCTTCTGGGAGTTGTAGTCCAAGAACACATGTGGACCCATGGTTGGGAACCACTGTTTTATAGGACAAGATTGTAGACCTCCCTTTCTCTTATAACACTCACATATAAACAAAGATCATATTGGTCAGTGTCAATGTATAGAATTGAAACAAAACACAAAATCTGCATGCACATGACAGTTAAAATTCCAGAAAACAATGCAAGTTTTCAAGTTCTCTAGAACTTCTCCTCAGGCCAGATGGTATTAAAAATTAGAAGGGGTGCGTGAAGCAGAGAAGTTGAAAAATGTGAATCAGTGTTGTTGTGGAGAATTTATACTGAATATGCCATTAGTGAGTGTCCAGGTAACAGACTGCACTTAGCATTGCACACTGGGTACAGGAGAAAGGATTAAGTTTCCAAATTCCCTTCCGTACTTAAACTCAAGGGAAGCAAAGATAGCCACAGGCAGTCTAAAGAGTGCTCCTGTCTCTTTTTTTAAAACTCAAAGTGACTAGAAGGCTATTAGGAGCAGAAGTATAGAGAAAAAACAAATTCCTCACATAAACAAACCTGAAGATAAAATTTTAAATATTGCAGTAACTAACAGTAGTGAATCCAATTACAAAAACTACCTATCACCTATATATTTTAATTGATTTTCATTTGTTTCTTATTATTTCATGTTTGTTCATCTTATTTGTGGGCTGTAATGATAAATGTAATTCGACATATTCATTACATATATGCTATGTTTGTTTTGTTATGTATGCTATGCTATGGTATGTTTTTTATATTTATGTTATGTAGTGTTATGTTATGTACATCCTTTCTCATGAGTAGGTTATATTTGCTATTCCTGTCCACTATTCCAAAGCAGTGGTCACTGAAGTCACTAGGTCACCAAGCCTAGCTTCCCCCCACTGAAATACATAACAAACCCCAACATAACTGGAACAGAATTGGTCAATGGGCATAGATGAGAGACTTCCATTAAATAAAATACAGTGGTGCCTCGCTTAACGATGTTAATTGGTTCAAAAAAACATTGCTATGGGAAAACATCGTTAAGCGAAACAC